TGAAATACGCTGCTATGAACATTAGTGTATATCAGTATCTGAGTCCCTACTTTCCATTGTTTTGGGCATATACTCAGAAGCAGAATTGCTGGATCACACGGTAATTTTATTTTTAATTTTTGAGGCTCAGACGGTTAACACTTAACTATCTGAGCCACCCAGGTGCCCCATGTTGTGTAGTTTTCAGTGTACAAGTCTTTTTGCTTTCTTACTTTATTCCTGAGTAGATTCTGTTCTTTTTTTTGATGCTATTGTAAATGCAATTGTTTTCTTAATTTCCTTTTCAAATTGTTCATTGTTAATGTATAAAAACTGTTCATGTTTAATATATAAAAACTGATTTGGGGTGTTGATTTTGTATTTTGCAACTTTCCTGAATTCATCTATTAGTTCTAATAGATTTTTTGGGAATCTTTAGGGTTTTCTACATATAAGATCATGTCATATGTAAGTAACCATCATTTTACCCCTTCCTGTCCAATTTGAATGCCTTTTCTTTTTCTTGCTTAATTGCTTTGGCTGGAACTTCCAGTAAGAATTTCCAATGCTGTGTTGAATTTAAGTGGCAAAAGTGGGCATCCTTGTCTTGTTGCTGATCTTAGAGTTTTGAAAACCTGCCAGTGACCATTGAGTAAGATGTTCATTTTGGGTTTTTCATGTATGGTCTTTTTTATGTTGAGGTAGTTTTCTTCTTTTCCTAGTTTGTTGAGTGTCATGAAAGGGTGTTACATTTTGCCAAATGCTTTTTCTGCATCAATTGAAATGTTAGTCTTTTTTTCCCCTTCATTCTTTTAACATATGGTATATTACACTTTTACATTTTTTTATGTTGAACCACCCTTGCATTCCATGAATAAATCTGTCTTGGTCATGGTGTGTAATCCTTTAATGTACTGTTGAATTCGGTTTGCTAGCATGTTATTGAGGGGTTTTTTCATCAATATTTAAATTGGTCTGAAGTTTTCTTGTGTCTTTGGCTTCGGTATCAGAGTAGTTTTGGTTTCATAGAATAAATTAGGAAGCATTCTCTCCTCCTCTTCAGTTTTTTGGAAGAGTTTGAGAAAAAATTGGTCTTTAAATGTTTGGTAGAAAACACCAGTAAAACCATCTGGTCCTGGGCTTTTCTTTATTGGGAGGTTTTGATTCAATATTTTTACTAGTTATAGCAATATAGTCTATTTAGATTTTCTATTTCTTCTTGATTCAGTCTTGGTACATTGTATGTTTCTGTCTGCCCATTTCATCTACAGTATCCAATTTGTTGGTATACTGTTGTTCATAGTGTTTCTTATAATCTTTTTTTATTCTGTAAAATTGATAGTAAGTCCTCACTTTCATTTCTTTCTTAGTTAATATAGCTAAAGGTTTGGCTTTTTTTTTTTTTTAATCTTTTCAAAGAATCAAATCTTTGTTTTTCTGTTCTCTATTTTATTTATCTTTGCTCCAATTTTTATTATTTTCTTCCTTGTGCTAGCTTTGGGTTTAGTTTGTTCTTTTTCCTGCAAATTGCCAGCTGCATCCAAAGGTTTGATGAGACACAAGTTTGATCCTCTTGTCATTGTGGTATCCTGTTCTTTTGTCAGGATGCACATAATATTTGGTTGGTTGTTCTCATGATCTGTGAAACAAATTACCTTAAAACAAAAATTGTTTTGGGGGTACTCAGCTGGCTCAGTCAGTAGAGCATACGACTCTTGATCTCAAGATTGTGAGTTCAAGCCCCACATTGAGCATGGAGCCTACTTAAAAAAAATTTTTAAAAACAAAAACAAAAATCACTTCATTGTATCTCACAATTTTGTAGGTCACAAATTTGAGCAGGACTCTGTGGATTCTAATTCTGCTCCATGAAGTTTGGTGGATAGGCTGGTCTAGAGGTTCTCAGATGGCTTCATTTTCATGACTGACACTGATAGAAATGGCTGGAAGGCTGGACTTATCCGGGCTCCTCTTGCTTTCCATGTAGTCTTAGGTCTCTTTACATTGTCTCTCCAGTAGAGAACTCTGAGGTTTGTTTTTTTGTTTTTTTTTTTAAGATTTTATTTATTTATTTATTTGACAGAGAGAAACACAGCGAGTGAGGGAACACATGCAGGGGGAGTGGGAGAGGGAGAAGTAGGCTTCCCGCTGAGCAGGGAGCGCGATGATGCGGGCTCGATCCCAGGACCCTGGGATCATGACCTGAGCCAAAGGCAGACACTTAACAACAGAGCCACCCAGGCACCCCCCTGTTTCTTTTTAAAGCTCACCCACTAATTTTATCCCCTATTCATGAATATTGCCTATAGCAATTATTACTGTGGTGTTGAAATAGTAATTGTCTATTTTTCTCATTCCTTCTTACCTTTATTAACTAAGCATTCTTCTGTAAAAATGATGTTTTATATCTTACAAATAACTTCACACTTATTTATTTGGTCATTGTTCGCATCAGTATGGACTCATGGCATTTGCTTTATTTTTGAGTTTATAATCCAATACTATCATAATCCATTTTCTTACACTAGGTTTTTTATCTTTGGCCATTGAGCTCTTTCAGGTTGGCTTCTATGTCCTTTGGACTTTAGACTGGGTTTTTGTTGTTGTTGTTGTTTTAGATTCAGCAATTGTTTAATGTTATCGTGTCCAGTTTATTTAGATGGATAGCCAATATCTCTGTGTTTTTCTGGTAGACTAGTTTTTAAAATGTTTTTCTGGCCTGCTTTCCTTGTAGAGATGTTATTCTATTCATTATTTTCTTTTTCCCCTTATATCTATATATGGCATTTGGCTTCAATTGCTTATTTTTTTATGAAATTAGTCTTTCTGAACTTTTGGAGGCATGGCTAAGGGTAGTATTTTCATCTTCAAAGAGCTTCCTTTTCTGTTGTTTTCTGATAGTATTTACAAATGTGATTTGATTTCTAAGATTTCCTAGTTTTGTTACCTTCTCCTTTTCTTCTTTTGTCTCTATTTTACTTATCCTGTATAATATTGATTCTGTTCACAGCATTCTATCTTCAGTTTTGAGTCCTGTCCTTCCATTTCAAGAATTTATAGAAGCTAGACTGTACCATCTCCTTAGATGTTATGTAGGCCTCTTCCACTCACCTCTTCTACTCACCTGCTTTCAGATCGGACAAAACCTCTTCTATTTTCAGTCCTCAAATTGTCTCTCTGTTCTTTCCATTGAATACTTTTTGGTTCTTTTGGTGTTCCTCTTGCCTTATATCCATTAGATACCCTGTTATTTTTCTCTGCTTCTGCTTTTACTGAAGCTGAAACTACACAGGTCTTACAGATGTCACTGGTTTGTCCCCAACCACTTATATTTTGGGGTTCTTAGACATAACAAGATAATACCTGGTTTTGTTGTAAATGCCCATAGTGCTTTAGTTTTGCTCTTTAACTGCTGTGTTTTTATGAGGGCATTTATGGAGATTCCAAGGTTTCATAGAATCTTTTTGCTATTATTTTTTTAAAATAACAGTTGGAGGGGAGCCTGGCTGGCTCAGTTGGTAGAGCATGCGACTTGTGATCTCAGGGTCATGAGTTCAAACCCCACATTGGGTACAGAGCTTACTTAAAAAAAACAAAAGCCAGGGGCTCCTGGGTGGCTCAGTTGTTAAGCGTCTGCCTTTGGCTCAGATCATGATCTCAGGGTCCTGGGATCGAGTCCCGCATAGGGCTTCCTGCTCAGCAGGGGAGTCTGCTTCTCCCTCTCCCTCTGTGCTCTCTCTCTCTCTCAAATAAATAAAATATATTTTTTTTAAAAGCCAATAAACTAGATTATAAAGTATCAGTTTGAGAAAAATATATTTTGATGGCATATTAAACTACAGATGTGCTTGAGTTACTGGTTAGATACCAAATAGCTAAAAACTTACGTGGCTGGAAGATTTTTTGTGTGACACAATGTTTTATGCTTATTTTCCACCATCTTATTTGATTGAAAGCTAAGTTTTATGTTAATTAACCTCTAATGAACTTCAGTGTCTCTGTTTTCAGTTTACTTTGGGAACTTGTACAGGCCATTTATTCTGCCTGTTTCTCTTTATTGACTCCTGTTTATCTTTGGAAAGATCTTGAAGAATCATTATGTATTACTTGTGAAGTGCTCCAGCTTTATAAGAAATTAACTAGGTGAATCTATGTGATCTCCTTCCACAATTGCTTCTGCTGAATTGAGATTGAAAATTTTTTTTCAGTTCATTATTGCCAACCTACTTTAGCCTTCTCCCAAGAAGAGGCAGTTTGGTTGAATTGGATTAAAATTAATCAGTTGTTAATTAGTTGCCTACTCTGTACTGTACAACTTTGTTCCCAAAGTTATCTTTCAAAATAGAACTCTTTTATAACTGTGACTAGCCATTAGACCAAATCCTATGCTTTCATTCCATTATTATTTCCATAGATACATTTATTTTCTCCTGTGAAAATGATTTTAGTAGTATGTATATATAGCACTTTGCCAAACATAAATACATTAGAAAATAATAGAAGTATGTGAAATATTCATTTAGGGTGAGATTTTTTTTCTGCTAAAAGGAACTAAAGATTGAAATGTAGGTCTACTGAGACCTATTTATAGATATATTAAAATGGTTATCAGATTCAATTCTCAAAGTGAAGAAAAGCTTATTAAAGTGGAAAGGAAACATCTAAACAGATAGGGTTGGAAGTTGTACAGTGACATTTTAGTTTTAGTAGGAGCTTTTGGGACTTTTTTCTTCCTACTCTCCCCCCTACACAATAATGATTCTGATCAGCAAGATTAGACCTATTGATCTGATTGATAACTCTCATGCCTTCCTAGAATGAGTCAGAAGGATTTAGGTAATACTTTTGTTGAACAGGGCCTATAAATATATAGTTTGAGGTATTGGCTAAATTAGTGGGTAATTTAGCTTGTCATGTTTTTATTATATTGGTCTACATATGTCTTTATATGTATTGAGGTGTAACATTAAAATTACTTAGTACAATATCCTTTAAGACATTTTTGTCTGATCTGCTTTCAGGTTCATGCATGGGAGATTTCAGACCAATTGTTACAGATCCGACAGGATGTGGAATCATGCTACTTTGCTGCACAGACCATGAAAATGAAAATTCAGACCTCATTTTATGAGCTCCCCACAGACTCTCATGCCTCTTTACGGGACTCATTACTAACCCATATCCAGAACTTGAAAGACTTGTCACCTGTCATTGTAACGCAGGTAAATCCTGTGCTTCTCATTAGGGAAATTTGTAAGGCCATTAGGATTTATCAGATTTTGATTGACATTGCTAGGCCATGTGAAATAATGTTAACTTTATTATGGACTTAATGGGATATTCTTAAGTGGATAGAAAGTGAAAATCTTCTATGTTAATATTAGAGTTCATTTGATTTCAAACCATTTTAAATACCAGAAGTGGGGGAGATGAGTATAGGTTTTCACAGGCAGGCATATGTGGTGCCCCCCCCTCCCCCCACCGTTAAAATTGCAGATGATAAAAATATTGTATATTCTTTTGTTCTGGGTCAGAGGTCTGCCTACTTGCTTTTAAAAAAATCGTTTCTGGACCAGTTGGCTAGTAAAAGTCTTACGAATGAAACAGTGAAGCATCTGGCCCTTCCACCTTAGACTGGTAAATACATTAGAAAGGAAAACTGGAAGCTTCAGTGAATACATACTCATGTGTGTTCTCTGCCTGGCATAGAAGTGCCCTTGAAGAGGAAGGAGGCTTTTGCATAAGGCTTCAAGATGAGAAATGGAAAGAGAAGGGAAATGGCATTCCATTACTTGAGGAGTGAGTCAAGGGCTGACTTTGTCAGTAGCTTTGGCCTTTTGGCACAGTATAATTTATCTGTCCATGAAGTTCTATGGTATTGCCAAATAAAAGTAAGTATTGATATATTCTGAGGAAAATCTATAGTCTGTTCTTTCTGATTTCTTTTTGTTGTTTTTTGGTTTTGTTTTTTCATTTTTAGAGGTTAACTTTTAAATCCTAGCAATTTGTAGCTAGCCCGGAAGAGTTTATATTATATGTGTAGTTGTGGAGGTGAGGAGAGGTGGGTGGGTGGGGTGTCAGTCTTTGTTGTCACATTGTTTGGATAAAGAAGTTTAGTTTCTTTGCTTTCCAATTAATATTGATGGTAACCCTGTTTCTGTTCATCTGTTCTATTCATTTATTTAATCTCTTCTTATTCAGCTGGCTTTAGCAATAGCAGACCTTGCCCTACAGATGCCTTCCTGGAAGGGATGTGTACAAACATTGGTGGAAAAGTAAGTAACTTGTATTAACTATATTCTAGCATTTGGAATTACTATTAACCTTGTACAAAGAGAAATTTGTTCGCATTAGCTAGACATTTGGAATATTTTCCCAAACACTTAACAAAGAATTATTACTAACTTTTGTTAGATTAAAAGAAAATCATTTAAAATTTAAATATTACAGAAGTGTGTCATGTGGAACATAAAAGGCCTTCATAATTTATACACACATGTTCCTTGAATTAACTGCAGCGAAGTCTTTCATTGTCTTGTGGGTCACTCCCACTAACTGACATGTCAGCAGTTCTATAAAAACATTGTCAGAATGTTTAAGATTATATTAAATGAGAAGTCATTATGAGTAAAAGTTCTTACTGATTGGGGTTTATTTCATATCTGTCAAAGGGACAGTATGATTTTTAGATACATGGAGCCTGCTACTTTGAATAAAAGCATTTCCTCATGGTCTTGGCCGGATAATCTTGATATTTGTTTGCATTTTGGCATTTGGTTAGGATATTATTTTTGAGCAAAGTGGATGTCCTTTTTACCTAATCCAACTACAGTGTGTCATTAAAGCCTTTATATGGATAGTTGTTTTTTGTTTTTGTTTTTGTTTTTTTTTAAGATTTTATTTATTTATTTGACAGACAGAGACACAGCGAGAGAGAGCACAAGCAGGGGGAGTGGGAGAGGGAGAAGCAGGGAGCCCGATGCGGAGCTCAATCCCAGGACTCTGGGATCATGACCTGAGCCGAAGGCAGCCGATTAACGACTGAGCCACCCAGGCGCCATGGATAGTTTGTTTTTTTTTTTTAAGAAAATTAACACATGTTCCTTGAAAAAACTTCTAATAGTGTGGAAGCTTTCAAAGTAAAAGCCTTTCTCTCTCCCTATTTCGGTATTTCATAAGTAACCACTATTAATGGTTGACTATATAGCCCTCCAGACTTTAAGCATTTTAAAATAAATAAGTGCGTATATATTCTAATATATCTATGTATTTGTTCACTCATATGTAATATATTTCATATACTTTTTTTATAGTATGTTGTGGACATCTTTTCATGTTAGGACATAGATATTTCATTCACTATAATGACTATGTATATTCCATTGTATAACTGTCTGTAACCTTTTTTATTCTAATAATGAGGACCTTTATATTTTCCCAATATTTTTGCTATTATGAAAAAGTTTTGCAGTGCATATATTTATATACTTTGCATATGTATGTGAGATTTTCTGAGAGAAATTTCTGGAAGTGGAGTTACTGGGTCACAGATGATGCAAGTTGAAATTTTGATTTCCAGATACCTTTCCAAAAAATTTTATCTGTTTTTTCCTCCATTTTAACAGTAGAGAGAATGCTGCTTTTGTTGTTATAGGTTATTCTGAAGCCTGTTGTTATCTTGTGATTGTGTATTTTCTGACTGAGTAACTTTAATCTCTCCCCTTTCCTTTTCCAGATATAGCAATGATGTAACTTCTCTGCCTTTCCTGCTGGAGATCCTTACAGTGTTACCTGAAGAAGTACATAGTCGTTCCTTACGAATTGGGGCTAACCGGCGCACAGAAATTATAGAAGATTTGGCCTTCTACTCTAGTACAGTGGTATCTCTGTTGGTGAGTAAGTGTGAAATACTAAGTTGTTCTGTAGGGGCAAAAAGCCATGGTGGTTATTTTTTAATTCAATTGCATTATTGTGAAATACGATTTCTTTGCAAGAATTGGCAATGATAATACTGTGACATTTATAGAACACTTTACAATTAAATACTTTCATATTCAGAAACTATACTTTTTGAGCTTGTAAGTAACACTGTGAGGGTGATGTTATTTCCATTTTATGAATGCTATATACAGGCTTGAGACTTATACAACTGCTAGTTCAGAATTTGAACTCAGGCTTTGTGATTACACATCCCTTGCTTTTCTACTACTTCATGGTACAAACTGTTGGCTCTTGACAAAGGACCATGATAATGTATAAATTTACTTAAGGATCAGTTGAGATTTGATAGGGAGGTGGTTCAGGACTTTAATTGACCTTTGGGCAATATCACAATTATAGATTAGGTAATACTACACCATCTTTTTAAAAAGAGTTAAATGTGATTAGGTCCTTTTTGACTAGGTAGACATTTTATTTTATTTTTTTTTAAAGATTTTATTTATTTTTGAGAGAGAGAATGAGATAGAGAGATCATGAGGGTCAGAGGGAGAAGCAGACTCCCTGCTGAGCAGGGAGCCCAATGCGGGACTCTATTCCGGGACTCCAGGATCATGACCTGAGCCGAAGGCAGTCGCTTAACCAATTGAGCCACCCAGGTGTCCCATAGGTAGACATTTTAATGCTGTAGACCAGTGATGGGTAAATTTATGGCCTATGAACTAGTCACCTATTTTTGTAAATAGAGTTTTACTGTAAATAGTCATGCCCATTCAGTTATGTATTGTGTACGTCCATAATTTTGAGCTGAAATGGCAGAGTTGAATAATTTTCACAGAGACCACATATAGTCTGTAAAATCTAAAGTATTTACTCTTTGGCCCTTTAAAGAAAGTATTTGCTGGTTCTTGAACTTGATGGTATTAAATTATATAGCCGCCACATCTCATTTGTAGGTCTTTATAGTCTAGTCTAGATCAATTTTTTCAATAATGTGGTTATAGATTATTTTTCAGGGAATTGTTTGAGTACTTTTGCAATATCATAGAACTTTTTTTTTTTTTAATTTTTATTTAAAGATGATAGTTGCTTGAGAGTTGGGGGTTTTTTGTTTTTTTTTTTTT